ACATGAGTGTGCTTATCCTCCATACCGCTTCTAGGACCGCCTTCACAGAGTCCTGACCTCCATTCCCTCCGGTGACATTAGATTTCGTAGCAGGTATTGCAACACGTTAACCCAACCAAACGTCGTGTCCTGGTCCTACCAAGCATAAGTAGTCGATGCTATAATGGTGAGACAAATGTTGGTTTCGGTAACGACTGTAGAACAATTCTGGTTTATGCCACGTCTCTGCATCTGCAAGGATGGACTGGCGTGCGGATTAGCCACATTCTTGTGGGGCGAAGGCCGTCCCCGATTGCCGCCCAATGCGTGCGACTGTATCAAACGGCGAACACAGCCCAGACCCCACACTTGTGAGAGCGAGACTGCACCTCAGAGCACCCATGAAATCTACCCTGTCCCGGAAGCTTCATTTTGGTAAGTTCCGATACGACAGAACGGTCAGCCGCCTTCACAAACACGTCGCCAGTTTCCTTGCTCAGCTGCTCTGCTTGAATGGCGAACGGGACCTACCCCGGAACACCATCGCGGAGGCATCGTTTCCTCACCCAGACAACGACCAGGTATCGGATGCGACCATTTTATTGGCCGATGACACTCTGTGACCCGAATCACAGAAAACTCCAACGTCTGATCATTTTGTCGCCAAATGGGACGATCTGTGAGGATCGGCCGAAACCGACTCAGGTGGGATGTAGTATCAGAAGTAAGACGAGTGTAACCTTCCCAAATTCCCCGACAGTTCGGCGGTCAAATAACCTGTAAGTAAGACGGCAGACCATCGCCATCACGTTCTCGAGTTCCCCAATTCGCCTCCCCCCTCCCCTGGATGCGTCCGAACTAGTTTCTAACTCACCTGCCCCCAGAAACCGCTGTGATTGATTAGGTACCATTATCTGCTGTAGTAGTAGTAGTAGTAGTAGTAGTAGTAGTAGTAGTAGTAGCAGCAGCAGCAGCAGCAGTAGTAGTAGTAGTAGTAGTAGTAGTAGTAGTAGTAGTAGTAGTAGTAGTAGTAGTAGTAGTAGTAGTAGTAGTAGTGACACTAACAATCACAGCGGCAGTGGCCGTAGAGGCGCGATCAGTAACACTGGTAGCGGCAACGCGAGCAGTAGCCTTTTTTGTCGCTGTAGTAGGAAATTCAGACTATCCGCTATCTAAGTGTGGCAATTATGCAAAAGAGGGGAGGAGCATTCTCTACCACGCAAGTCTCGCACCCACCCAAATCTTCGTTTCTACAGTCTTTAAACGAAACTCACGGCCTCCTTCCCACAATTGCAATACAAATCTGATAATCTTTAAACGGGTTTGTTTACAAAAAAGAAGACAAAACGTTGTGAGGTCCGAAGATTCCGGGAATCCCAGCAGAAGCCCAGAAGACTACGACATCATGCCTGTGGCCTTCCACAGCCAATGCAAAGGCTCCCTTTGGGGCAGATCAAGCTGGAGGAAGTCGGCGTCAGAAAACATGTCTTTCAGCGTCCGCACACATTCCGACAAGTCATGACACCTAATCCACTCCTCAACCTTGTCAGAGGGGTCCGCTGCGGAGGGTATCCCCTTGTTTAGGAAATCTGCCGGGCCATTCGATCGCGCTGCATCACGAAGATGTGTGACAAGATCCGGATCAGCTTTGGCAAGGTCGGAGAGCAGTGTATCCACACGCAGTTCCAGGATCCGGAAGGTGGTAGGTCCGGCGCCGGAGTCCAGAGCGGTAGGGGGTAACTTTGCTCGTAGCTTTTCACCCGACAGGCGCATCCATCTCGAAAGGAGGACGTACTTCAGGAGGAGGAAGAATTCGGCGTAATTCCAACCTTCCCAAGCCTTTAAACAATCCTGAAAGTTACGAGCAGAGAAGGTGCTGTTAAAACACCCCGATTGACGCCTGATCCGTGGAACACAGAAGGGAGTCAACTTTTGTTTTGAATGGAACAAACTTTTCGGAACAGTGTTTATTTTGGCATTGTCGTTCACCAGTCTGGTCCCGTTGCGCCTGAGAACTCAGCCTAGGTCAGTATATTTTAAGAGTAATAGGCAATGCCTTTGAAAACCCTATGTTAAATGGTACATGCAATGTCTAACTTTAAATAAACACGGTACTAAAATGTTGTCAGTAATATACACACTTAACATAATATTTTTGTTGGGAATGCCGGACCGAAACTTGAGAACGTGCAGGAAGTCGCAGAGCAACAGGTAATGATGCAGGAAGGAGTACCCAGCCTGTGGTTGGCTGAGGACAGCAAAAAAGGCCGAAAACAGCCACTCCAGTCTCCCTGAATGTTGTCAGTACTCTCTCCCGCTAACAAGAAACTCTAAACGCCACTGATAAGCGCAAGCGAAAAGCTCGGATTGAAACAGGGTCGAACTGGCCAAAAACAGGCGAGCTCTGTCTGAAAACGGTGTTATAAAGATAGCACAGACAATCGAAAGGAAATCAGTCCTTCATATGTGTTATGGCCGATTTCAAATAATTCATCTTGACCCAACTGTGAAAACCTCGGTGCCTCGGTGGGATTCTAACCTACGACAGAAAGGGGAGGCTTTAGTACGGCCAACGCTCTAGCCATCTGAGCTACGAGACCCCACCGGACGACGCGATTTTAATCACATTTGGGTCGAGTTTACCGCCCAACTTAGGAAATCCTGCTTGGGCAGTCGGCTTACTGTATGAGATTTGGTGGATTCTAGACGTTGCAGTAGGTTGGGCGGGTAAACTCGACCCAAATGTGATGAAACTCGCGTCGTCCGGTGGGGCTTCGTAGCTCAGATGGTTAGAGCGTTTGGTTGTACTAAAGCCTCCCAGGTTCGAATCCGATCGAGGTACCGAGTTTTTCAAAGTTTTGTCGAAGTAAAACCAGTTCTAGTGATCCAAGTGGCCAGTCCCATGCACAACAGCAGACGGGACTACATTCGCGAACAGGGAGGAGTAAATTATCCCGCACGTTGAAAAGTCTGCCAAATGCAAAAAGCGAGAAGCGTGTACGTGCAGAGTACGAATACTTTCAACAAATCCGAGGCAGATGGACTGAAATGTGATTAATCTATCTCACTCAAACGGGTGGGAAGTAACCACGTAGCGTCTCCTCCTGGACCCACGCACCAGTCCGCCCCCCTCCACTGCAATAAATTACGTCTTCCTGATCTCCTGCCGTCTTCTGATTTGCCTAAAAATCATGTTGGACTACGTCCGCCCTCGACAATAAGGGGACTTTCCAAGGGCTTCTTCGACGCTGGTTGGAAGACAGTTCAAGGGACAGGCAGACGACTAAACGACGGCAGACCTCTGGCCTGCCGTCGTTGGCGGACCGACTGCCAGGTCCTGCGAGGAGCAGTTGACTGCCTGTCACGTCTAGCGCGACCCCCCCCCCGCAAGTTCGCCTTTAGCGCACTGCCTAAACGCGAAAAACAGACTTACGCGACCTCGATAGGATGAAGTCGACGGTCAAAACAGACCGGCGGCCGACATCTAACAAAGATGCTGAGAGATTTGAGTTCTCAACAGGTGTGACGAAGTGTTGTCGTTCCACGTCGCATTCGCCAACAACGAAGAATGCTGGGACGAGTCACTGCAATCGCTAGAAAGATGCTCGTGAGCATTCATCCAGTGATGCATAAACAAGATTTTCAGCTGAAAAAAGCTCTCAACGGATTCTGGAACAATAACGATAGTCTCTGGTGAAAACGACTGTCTGCATCCTTAATGTCGTTGCAGCAATCGCCTCGTAGGACAGAAGGTCTTGAAGACGGATTACATGCCCCCTCCGGCTCATGGGCCGAGCAACCAGAATGAACAACAACTCGGAACCAGTATTATGACGGCAGTACAGGGTTTGCCCAACAGTCATAGTATTTCACAACCAGGAGTGCGTTCATGTAGTCAGCACCTTCTCGACCTAAACCATGGATGTCCCGACGACAGTACCGCATTCGAAACCTCCTTTGACGAAGCGTAGTCAGTCCTTTACCGCAGTTACCGAGTCATGTAAATTTGACTTAAAAGTAGGGTAGCACCCAGCGGCTGCGCGCCGCAAGAACGACGAAATGCATCAAGTGACTTCTCAAAACCTCAGCTCACCTACATCTCACTGAGGGGAAACTACCAGGGAGAATGACGCCAGCACTGGGATCGTAGGTCATTTGAAGGGACTCGGCTAGCCCTTCAAGGTCGACGAGAACGCAATTTTTTTGCTAGGTGACAACCGCGCGGGCCGAGAGCTGCTCCAGCCGTGGTTCTGCGGGCCGCAGTCGATGAGCAGGTGTAATGACCCTCTACCTCCTTATTCAGCCCTTAAACTTTGCCTGGGCAGAATAACTGGCCATGTGGGCGGGGTGCAGGCAAACTCCACCTCCAATGGCAGTATCAGCGAGCCCAGTTGCCGAGTCATTATTGCGCCATTGATCAACGCCAGTAACGAAATTACGGCAATCAACGACCCTGATGTGGACGAGCGAGTAATCATCGTACCAATTACGACCGATGGCGAATCCGGGGAGTGCTAATTATAGTAGGTAGTGCGGTATTTTACAACGGCTGAGATCTGAGAAAATAATGCGACTCTGGCCAGCCGAGCATGTCTAGAGCTTAGCACTTCACCGTCTATCAATAAGGCTGTAGTTGTCGCTGTAGATGGCTTCATAGTAAACTCCGTCAGTCCGTACGAGACGCTACCTTTCTGGGACCTTGTCTGAACCGGAACAGTCATCGCGACAGCCAAAAAGGAGAACCAGTTAATGGAATTAGATCTAAAATGGCATTCTCCGGCGTGTGGAGCCCACTGACTAAACCTAAATTGAGGGGTCCAAGTCGTAGTCGCATCGCGTAGTCGGCATTGACTCCCGAGGCTTTGAAAGCTCGTGCCGATTAGGCGAATTTCCCTGTTTGCTAATAAAACAAACCGATTGACCTCTGTTTCCAGACGAACATATCTGTCCTCCGAGCTTTCCATCGAGAGCCTCTGTGCAAGCTGGAGTTTTCTAGTCTAAAGCCGTCAGTTTTTAAAGCAGACCTACAAAAAGCTAAGCGGGAGGTGTTCTCTACAATCACCGTCCGTCAATTGGCCCCAATCCCCAGGATGTCACGTGAACCGAACAAAAACCTCTCCCCCCCCCCTCTTTGAAGGACACTTCTCCGCCGAGTCTTTCAGCTTACCTCTGTACCGACCTCGCAGCGATCAAGGTGGTCTCGGAGGGGAAGTTGAAGGGATGCTGGGGTGATACACGCGGCGACGTGAGGTTGTTTTTCGACCACAGGCACCTATAAAAGTACTTTCGATGTCAATCATTGTCTACAGTACGGCAAATATTAGCAGACAGTGGCAACCGCCTAAACTGTGTTGTGAGTGTCGATCATACTAGTGAACCAGCGAACACAAATACGGGAAGTTTAGGCGAACATTTGGTGCAGGTCTCGCTTCCATATCCTTCGAAACGCCTCGGTGAGCGCGTTCGTTCGAATCACACAAGTTCAAGGGTTAACGATGCAATGGCAACTGACCTTGTCTGCTAGGCGACCCATACTGATAGTGTGGAAAAAATGACAAGATGTAAAACCCCTTAGATGCCCGTCTTAAGCCGGAACTAGGCGTCAATCCCATTAATAGCGACAGCGAGGTCTTATTTCCAGCTTAAAAATATGTCAAAAGGTAACAAACTTCCGATTGCAACAAAAAGAAAGAAGGCGAAAGGAGTGATAAGCTGGCTTAAATCCCCCGCTAATGGGGTTTACTGGGTAACATTGCTGACACAGACGTTGATCACCCTACCTGACAGGCCTCCGCCCACCCCGGCGTGGACTTGACGTCCGCGGTGGAGGTCTTGACTTCGCACAACTGGTGCTGAAGATGTTTCCAAACAAGGTTCACGTTGCAGGCGTTGATCCAGTTATGATTGATCGAGACGCAGTCAGTCTGTTGGGGAAACGGAGGTCACTCCAGGCAGAAATGCGGAAGAACGGCGTTTCTGTGAGCAAGGGGAATCGGGCAACCTACCAAATTTAGGACTTCATGATACCAACCGGAGGGGACAAACACAGCCTGGCCGGGAAGTTGTTCAAAGATGTAGCATCTAGCGAGGTCGGAATCCTGATCTGGGGAGGCAAACTGGCGATCGCGTATGTCCGGCGGTAGATGGCCCTGCACCGACAGTAACTTTTTCTCCTCACCTAATGACGAACAAAATTGATAGAAACAGTCAAGGACCCCCAGTAATATCAGAGGCCATGTGGAACACTAAATGAAGCAACCGAGGTATGTGGGTTGCCATGGTTACTTCACGGGACTTCTCACGTATGGGATGAAAATTATCCGAAGGGGCTAGCTGATAGTAAACTGTATGTGCGTAAGACGTTATATGTTCTGAAGGCGTATGTTATGTCAGTATCAGCAAACCATAGCCCTCGCAGTCTGGAATGCGTTGGCAGTTCCCTGACACCTGGTTCCCTGCCGGTAGATGCGCTTGCGCTCCCGCTGGGTATGCAAGTGGTGGGCATGGCCGCCCAGTCATCATCATCCTTCTGACCCCTGTTGGGGTGTTGTTGTTGTTGGTCAAAAACCTGGTCATTTTCTGTGTGGACAAGGGGGGTGGGGAGTGGAATGCCAAGGTGCGGGCTCGACTGCGCCATCCACCTGAGTCCTCCCCACCCCGGTCTTCTTAACTCTGTCTTGACACCGGGTCCAGGTGGGGAGTGGGGAAGAGAGAGTGCGGTAGATGCTGCGCGTCTACTATCACTATAAACTGAATCACGCGCAAGTCACCGTGCCTGTTGCACCTTGGTACGGAGCACACGGCGGGCATCGTCGGCAACGACGGTCGAAATGTCATACTGTACTCGACGTCGTCTATAACCTTCTCCAGAGTAACGGTAGACCTAGTCGACTTGAGTGGGTCAACTATCATACCGCATGACAATAACTATCGGCCAACTTAGCATGGTTCTGAGCGACATCAAATCCGGCGATCGTCGTTCAGAATTGCACAAGGGACACTAATGCTTGACGGGTTAAGAGTTGAAGAAACCTTGGGTTTATCAGTGCTCCCCGGAAGCCGGATGAGTCGTAGAATCTCAGACCATGGAGGAGAAACAAATCGAACAGCTAGTGCGAGTGGGTGCGAGCTTCGGGCAAGCTTGCTTGTTTGAAAAGTTAGGAACACTGTTGGTGTGGCCGGCTCCAGAGTTCACAGCATCAGAACAGGTGCAACCTATGCATAGAATAGCCATCCGTGGCCTCAGCAACCATTTTCAGATCAAATGAAAAAAGCAAGAACTACGGCTGGGATTTCATCGCTCAGGTGGTTATAGCGCCAACCGAGTCGTAGCCACCCCTTACTGTCGCAGGGTCTACTCCCGCCAAGGTCGCGAATCGCCCATAAATGAGATGCAACTGGTGGTGAAAGGGACGGTGGAATTTCCGGGTGTTCAACAAGCAAGCGCGATGTCCTTCCCTAAAGCTTTTGAGTAAAAACAGGGCTTGAATGGCGGTGGATGTCGTGATTGCTAATTACTTGTATTTTGTTCTCTCCATGTCGTCGGCTTGAACCCGCACGGCTGTCGCGGAGTGCAGGGAGAGAAGGGTACCGACCAGCTGACCCACTAGATGTGAACTTCCTTGTATAATTGGGCTGGTTGACTTGAGCAGCTGGTAGTGGTCAGTCTCGAAAACCAAATTCTCGTCAAGACAAACTTGGGCGAACGCAAGCTTTGCAGACTCAGAGTTTTGCCGATCACGCGACGATGAAACGAGGCCAAAAATGACGGACACTGACATGGACCAGAGGAGCCTTAGATACTTTAGTAACCAAAGACGCGAAAGTCGGTTGTGTTACGCAGTTCACCAGTTCAGTCGGGTTGTGATGCTAACGAACAGAGCAGTATATCCATTAAATTCCCGTATGGTAGCCTTCGACTGATCATCTTCTCAGTCCATTGCACTAAACACATTGATGTACAATGTCATGAACTAAGTAGTTCATACTAGTTACTTTTCGGTTTTTGTACAAATCAGGGTAGAGATCTTAATAACATGCCAGATGGCTGTTGTTTCGAACTGCATGAATGACTGAAAAGCGAACATCAAAACAGACTTCAAAAAGACCGCGAGAGGCAACTGGCTTTGAGATTTCGCCAAAAAGAGACGCGAAGTGTCGGAGAGGGAGGGGAAGAAGAAGAAGAAGAAGAAGAAGAAGAAGAATGAGGAGGAGGAGGAGGAGGAGGAGGAGGAGGAGGAGGAGAAGAAGATCAGTCGGGTCGCTTAATTGCGTAAAAGCACCTATTTTTCGTCCTGACGTGGTTTATACTAAGTCCAAAATGCAAAATGAATTCGAATTGGAATTCAATTTCTTTCTCGTTTCTCCGTTAATGTTGCTCCTCGGCAAATGTAGCAACCTATTTGGTTGGATTTTTCCGTTAAACTTTGGAGCTTTCGCCGCAACATTACAACTCTAGTACCCGTTCCCGTTTAGGAACTTGAACTGTTGCATGTCAGTCTCATCGAAAGGAACATGCCGTGTAAAGCAAAGTGAGGTCTGCCGTTAGAGACCACAAAAGAATCAAGAAAGGAAAATCGTCAAATGAAAACCACCGACAACAAAGAAGCGGCACTTCACCTGGAGGAAACATCCACCAACGTTTCAGACCGACCACGTTGACTGACCAACTGTAGGACCGATAGACGTCCGAGTGCAGGGGCGTCCACGTGCCCTTCGGACCGGCATAGACAAACTTAAAGTCGTCGTCAACATCGGTGCGAAAAGCGAAGAATTCGTTCAACCAGTCCGACGAAAAGTGGACGGGCGCCGTAAAAAACAGAGAAGGTTCGTGCCCTCTACGGAAGATTCACCCACTACCGTCAGCTAAACATCTCGCGTACCGGAAGTAGTGCCAGTCCTTCAAGTAAAGCAACTGCTCGCCTTCATGTCCCTCTCGTGACTTCCAATAGGCGAGATACTCGCTGGGCGAAAGGTTAAAAGTTGGATGGGCGCCAAACTCTAGTCGACGACAGTCGGCAACACAAAGGCTCGCTTCATCTGAACCGCGCTGTGTTAAGCGGCGGGCAAAATAATTGTTGTACCCTTAAATCCCTCAAGTAGTGCATCAATGTTGACCGTATCATCGGTTCTGGTCCAGAGCTTGCGTGCAGGCCAACCTGCCGTCAGGTCTTCGGCAAATAAGCAGAATTTATTAGGAAGTAGGAATCTTAGGGAGAAGAAAGAATGGATCACACTAACACGATTACTTACTTTACATAGAAGTCCGCATAAGTAGACTGAGAAGTGAGTATAGGTATCGGCATATCAAGTCCCCTAAATAAAAGGTCGAGAAAATAAGATGACACATAAAGGCTTGTGGTTTCTTATAGAAGACTATGAGTGCTGTAAACAGCAAATTTCCCACCTGAACTTTCGGGTTGGTTCTCAGGTCCGTCCTCAGAAAATTCAAAGTTGGCCCAAAAGTTTAGGTGGGCCAATTGGAGTTGACAGAGGTTGAGTCCTCCACTTTAACCGATGAAATTCTACAGATGCGCATGTTTCCAGCGTTTGCGGTCGGCATTTAATTATTGTGCACACAGGACATTACGATGGTATTCATCAGTGACAAAGACGTCCGAGAGAGAAAACATTATACTGTTGAAGTTGCGTGGTGCATGCAACAAGAAGCAATCGAACACTCGCGTCATGGTGCGTAGTTTAGTCCAGAGGAACGACTTGTACTTAACGGTTACTGGCGCCTGCACGTCGAGGATGAAAAACTCTTGATTGTTTCATTCTAAGAGGAAGATGACATTCAAACAGCCAGAACCGACTCCTAAGTCCATAAAGGACTCAGTCCTGCAGAGGCTGGGGTCGTTGGTGTTTTAACACTCCGGGCCGAAGCTCCATTCAATGTATAAGTAATAAATTTGTGGTTCTCCCAGGGCATGCAGTGTTGTCATTCATGGACTTACTCAACCCCATTTTCCCTGTGTACAAGTTACGATGGATGGACACAACCAGCAGATTACCTCACTTTATGTCTTCGCCTACCTTAGAAAGCACGATAGTTTTCATGTGATACGTGAGGGCACAACACACTCCATACAAGCATTAAGCTTCCGAAACAGCCATCCAACCCGTTACAAACACAAATCAAAGGGACGCTCTACCAACACTTCGAAACGCCCAATATGGTGAATGAGGCTGTCATGACAGCATTATAGTAGTCCCATCTAACCTTCCACAAACAGCTCAGATTTGCGGACTTGTGAACAACTAGTGCTCTTGTTGATTGACTGGACACAGCAATCCCCAGTTACGCGATGAGACTCCTGGACGGAAAGGGCTGACCAATCACGAAATGGGCCGTAGACTAACCATGCGGCCTGGCCCTGTGTCGGATTGCAGCACCTTCAACTGGAGACTGATCTCCGTGATGGATTCACATATCTGTTTTTGGTTATTTACCGCCTACCGTTTGGCAGAAATCCGTAATTGGCCGTGCATATACTTTCGACGTGTACACTCGTCCTAAATTTAGAATGCAGACCCCCGAACCATCGCGATAAAGGGAAAATATGATAATCCGTGAAAATGCACCGCATGGAAATAACAGGTACCGAATGAAATTCAAAAAGAGTTACTTGAAGAGGCAGGTGAAACCGGGTCAACGACACAATCGTTTTGACATCGTTCTGACCGCTTAAATTACAACCTATTAAAACGTGATTACGCTGTAGGTCACTGCTTAAAACTATTAAAGATTTGGAATTCGTCCGAAACCCTTCAATACCTGATTGCTGGATTATTTTAGGTCTTTTTACACAAACCCCAATATAACAACATGGTGGAACTGCACACGTGTGGAAAGTACGGCTCTGAGAAACACCTAGAAGAGTGGCGAACAACTCTGTTGCGTCGGCGCAGTGTTGAGACAAAATATGACGGAACTGACCAAACTGCAATTTCTTTTTGAGAAGGCTGTTGCCCACTACGTCTGGCCATAGTGTATTCGAATGGTAACCCCTGACATCTATCTTCCTCTTGAGCACTCCTGGCACCTTGAAGTTTGTGAGTTCAAAGTCGTCGGTCGACACAAACACCCAATTAAGTTCTGCGACATCCTTAAAAAGTTTTTTAATCCAGAGGAAACTCACGTGATAATCAGGCGGTATTTGCTTAGCGACTTATCAGTCCATGAAAGGCAAACCTGCGTAGGCTCTTCCAGAAGGTACGGGTGGTAGTTTAGAGAATCTTCGAACCCGCATAAAACGAAAACAGCCTTTAAGTTCTTTATTTACAAAAAATGAGTTCGCGCTTAAGGACCTTTTTCATATCCGAAATAAGAATTTTGTCAAATTCCCATCAGGGATTCTGGAAAGTGCATAGTCAATTAAATAGGGCAAGCCATCATTATGGATGAGCCAGGCACAGACTGCCGCCACTGACACAGTCTTGATTATATGTATGACATTTCTTCAAGAAGTCAGTATCTAGGCTGCACTTAAGTGCTCTGGCTGTGTCTGAAAGCACAACCGCAACGGGGAGTCTGTTCCAGGCTACAAGTACCCTTTGACAGATGGCGTAAACTCGGACGCATATGGGCAACATCCTCTGGAGTTTAAATAGACGACCACACAGACACTCATCCCTGAATTATTCGAAGAAGTCTTCAATCTCTGAGGCGCACTCACGATCTCTGATAGTTCGGTAGGCCAGAATGAGGTACCCGCCCAGTTATCTGTAAATTATAGGAAACTGATTATGTTTAGTTATTGTGGCTTCATAAGACAAATGACCAAGATTCTTTACCATGTTCGTAGTCCTCACCTACATCCTTTCCAGCAGGTGATAATTGTTCATGGGACATGGAAACCAGGTTTGTTTGGCATACCCAAATAAAGATCGAGGAAACACTCCGAAGGAGTTACCAAGCAGTTCCTTCTCGATTTATACAAAAGCTTGTTTCAGCATGAATAGTATGCGTGTCGCGCTTTTAGCTGACTTTAAAAATTGTAACTGCTGCTTGAACGGGGAGGTCATTAGAAAGCTCTGATCCCTCTATAGGACTGTCTGTGAAAAAGGTTCCCAAAGAATCACCTTCCTAGTTGGTCCTTCTGTTAAGGAGTCTTGTGACCGTATAATCACCAACGTTAACGTTTAAAGGTTAGAGAGCAGACCAACTGCCAAGCACCTTAAGTCCTTCTTAGCGTGTTTGCCTAACTGCGTCGGACCCGATGGCTCTCTAGAGTTCGAAGTAGTTAGCAAACGTGATGGCGCTGCAACGCAGGTTGTAGGCACAGTCTCTGATGAAGACTAGAAGGATAAACGGCCGAGTACTCAACACTGGGAGACACCTGCAAAACAGAGATCAAGGTTGACTCTGATGCAACAACACACACGATTTCCAATCTGTGATAATCTCTGCGATCCATGCCAAAATATTGCCTCAAATTCCGATTTCAGATAGCTTGTAAATCAGACTTTTGTGCGACAGGCTGTCAAACACCTTCCTCGGATCAACATAGATGACCTCAGCATTACCCTCCTCGTCCAGTGCACCAATCTACCGTTGGTAGAGCTAAATCTGACAAGACAAGATTGACACTGTCTAAAGCCGTGTAGGGACCCTGAGAGTAAGTGGTTTACCTTTAGGAACTTTATTGTCCTTATCATAAGCGTGATTTCCATTACGTTACAGCATACACAAGTTAGAATGACGGCCAATAATCATTGACGATGGTTTGCGCGCCACCATTTTAGTGGACGTCGTTCATTATTCGTTTGGTGTATTGGTGGATACATCCGAACTGGTATCAGATGGGCTTATGATTTTTCGTTAGATTCGGCATAGTTCATGACTTAGATAACCGTGTGGTAGCTGTTTGCCTTTGTGTCAGAACAAAGTGTGCGTTCGGTGGAGTGCACGGATAAGTGTGTTGTTTACGCGAAGCTGACATTTTTGCCAGTACGAACAAGTGACTGGCTAAATGTTGGACACGTGATTGATCATTTCATAGGCTGAAGCAGGACGTGCCTGATCACGAGGGCCCACGAGTGAGGGCGACGCCGACCGACGCATGTGAGGTGGCGTTCAGTTGTGGGAGCAGTTATGACTCCCCGCACACTGACAAAAGGCACTTCAGTCCAAGAATGTGGATGGTCGTGTGTTAGCGGCGGTTACCCAGGTCAGCACGATTGTCGCGACCGTTGACTGACAAACAGGAGTTGGACAAGGAGGCACGGGGCGGCTGCTGGTCAAGCATGGCTGTTATTCTGGTTTGCCTTAGATATCGTGTTTTACGCATCATCAGGATTTTCCCCTCGGGCGCACTCCGAAACCATCATCATGTTTACAACAACGCCAGGATAATGCGTAAGTTGTATTCTGTGGTACACTGCCTTTCATCCCTGAAGTGAATTTCTATTTGTGGCAGTGCTGATTGAGCTATGGAGAACTTTTTCGCATCGAATGTCTTAATAATGTATGATTTATGGTTCAGTAAGTTTATTAATGGGAGGCAGACAACTTCTGCATTGAACTCTACTAATACTCGCAAGCCTCGGCGCAGCATTGCAGGTGTAAACAGTGATTTTACACTGCAGTATTTGACCTGTCCTTCGTTCTGCGTTCCAAAGAGGCCGGTCTGCGTACCTATCGGCCACCTCACCGGTTGGGGGCCCAGATGCTTCGATTTCTGGGGACGCTGTAGTTTAAATAAAAGATCATCATGACGAAAGTAAAATTAGAACAGGGTGTTGGGGTCTAATATATGTTTGGCTTCTAGTTCCTATCTTGGCTTTTGGATTGAGGTCCAGTCCACAAGGCAGCGGGTAGCATGAAGCATTTGTTTAATGGCGGCTGGCGTTTACCGTGTTTCAGTACGATCATTGACATTTTATGACGCTTTATTGGATGGTTGGTTCGTCAAACCTCGGCCCTTTGCAAACTGCCCTCACTGACGCCGCTGATCCGCGTCTACTTATTTCTGAGAAACAGGCCTCTACGGGGCACAAACCCGGACGCATGTTGCAACGCTGAGCCTCTCGCGGTTACTTGTACGTTCACACCAATTGCGGTCAGGTCATCGGCCAATGCCGGCTGGCCAAAGCAGTTAATCATCTTCGAGGCTAGCTCAGACGTGGCTTCCCTGAAGGCGCTGAACGACTGCCTCACTGTCTCACTCGCGGCATCGGATGTGCTCTCGTCGACTGCCAGCGCCTACTAACATCTTCTCCGATAGTTTCGTACAGAATAAGACATTTTCCGACTGTCGCACCACTTCTTCTCTTTCTGTTTGTAACTGGGCTTGGTGATATTAGAGGATAGGATCTCTCTATGTCTTACGCCGCCGTGATAGGCCCACTTATGTCGCTGCTTACCTTCTCCGAGGGCCATTACGCTATCTCTGCGAACAATATGTTATTTATTGCAAATAGCGCTGAGGAGGTTCCGCGTTCGTATATTTTTAGTGGCCAAAGTGTTTTATCCCAAGCGTGATATGATTATGCTTATAATGTTTTCTATCAATTTTCACTTCGTGGTTACCCCCAGTCAAACATGAATCTACCTGAACACTGGGACCGTAACAGTTTTGCCATGGCAGTGTAGGGCAGCAAACACTCCGAGTTTCAAAAAGTTCTCAGCAGTCTTTGTAAATGCGGTAACGATTCAGAATTCTCCCTCAAACAGAACGGACATGTCAACAAATCACGGTGTACCTAATCAAATCTGTTAACCACGATGCCCACTATAGCTTAGAGGGTGTTAGTTAGAGTGTGGCCATCTGTCTGATATGTCGATTACTAGAACACAATAGTGCAAAGGAACAATGACATTTCGCTCGCTGTCCATCACAAATGCAACACTTCTGAACCCAGGTTGACAGAGTGCAAAGTCGATCCTATAAATAAATTGTCCAAAGTGATGTGGAAACCGGCTTGGTATTAACTAACAAGATTTTGTGGGCGTGTTCGAAATCTCGGTTAACCCTAGACTTCCTTACTTCACCAGTATCTGCCAGGTCCAGGCGATAATGTCGGCTTTCGATAACACACACCGGTTCATGTCAAAATTCAGCAGGACTGATTTAACCACTGAACCTCCGTATAATGAGTGAACTATCCCAATTGCACATACCTCAGCATCTTAACAAAATTCAGGGTTGTGGGACCAGAATTACACGTAAATATTTCACTGGCGATCACGCGCATGACGCGCTGAACGCACCGCGAACCTAGCCGATTTATTTGAGCCGGTTGAAGTAACTGTTGGCGCCGACCAAAGATGGGGACGTAACGACCATGTGTCCGTGAAGATTTTGATGTCTTTCCCCTTGAAATCGATTCCCCCTGCCCGCAATTAACGTTCATTGCAGACTTCCTCGCTCTCGCTCTCTCCCGTTCCACGTCAGCATCCCCTCGACCCACCTCTGCAGTTTCACGCAACGCTGCACTCACTGCCTGTTATCTAACAGACATGACTGAACACTTGCACACCAGATGGGTCAATGATATATGCAATACTCCCTCCCGGTATTATTGTACCCTTCTTACTTTTAAACTCGTTTATTACCATTAGTGTGATTTTTTGTAATTCATACTACTTTCACTTACGTCTGGCGTGGTGCGTACCAACTTTAGTTCTCATGTGACCTAGAAACGGCCCCGGGTTTGTTACTTAATGGCTTGTGCGTCGCCCTCAACGTCTTCTGCCACTAGAACGCAAGAGGCGTCCGGTTTTCTTGTATGTCCCTTTCGAACAGAATTCCTATTATTGGGGACCTGACAATTGCTTTTAGGTAGTGAGTTGCCACAAAGCAATCTTAATGCTGGTCTGCATACACTACGGGTGACTGTTCACTTCGTTTACATCCCCACTCTAATGTTACTAGGCAAACTTGCTAACTTCTTATTACAAATGCAACATTCCCAAATGTGACTTCACAAATATTCACTTGATCAAACTCCGAGAATGTACGGCCTTGATTCCCAGCACGTCGTGCAACACTTTTGAAACGAGCTTTAGGGTAGGACAGGGAGGAAGCATTCAAATGCGCTATTTTTTTCGGAAACCCGTATAAGGATATGGGACAGCACTTATTTAAAATAAGCGACTGAACTGATTTCACAGTAGGTTGAAAAGCAGATAGAAACATGATTCATATTGAATATTTAAAAAATTGTTTTTTTTTATTAACGAAATGGTAAACAACAACAGGCATAGAAGAGTGCAGACATTAACACCAAATCTGCGTATTCAGCCGAATACTCACACTTGATACCATATGATGTTGTGGAGTCAACTAAAGGACAACGCACATGTGAGTAAAAAAGGCACCGAACGGTAGTATTATTCTCATCTTCGCAAAATTTCCAATAACTTCAATAACAGGAAAACCAAAAGAGGCACCGTCATTGCGACCGCGGCAAGCACGGACATAAAACTCGCAAGCTGCCGGTACGTCCAGTGTTGAGTGACATCCTGCAGACCCAGTAGCTTAGCTACATCGCACAGCCAGATGGCGATGCTTTCGTTACGAGCGCTGCGGTCCTTCCCTCGGTGTTTGACCTCTCTTTGTTGTTCGGACCAGCTGAAGGCGTCCACCAGGTGCGCTTCGTCCTCTTGTGTCCACAGAACTCCAGACTAAATAGAGAAACACCTCTGAATATATAAAATATCTAAAATTGAGCATACGTCTCTGGAATTTTTTCCGGATATCAGTAATTTAAGTGCAACTACTTGTATGACTGCAGCTAGTAAGAATATTCTATAAAATTGTTTCCTAGCACGGAGCTTAATGCTAACTTTCTCTACTAACGCGTCCGTTACCACTGTCGTTACGAATATTAGCATAATCTGTGGAGAAATATTATAAAATACGCAAATGGAGTGGAGATAAGCATACCTAAGCCACAGATGAAAGGCCTCGGGAGTTAAACTTGGACTCTAGCACTGGACCAAGGGCTCGCCTCTTATTGACAGTAATAAGCAACCGTGATGAAAATTGATAAATTGTTTACTTAATTAGGCTCACGCCAATGACTGCATACGTTCGTCCGTTTCCTCAATTTGCCTTTCATGTAGACCTTAGCTTACCAATGTGGAGTGTTTAAAAATTTCTTATGAATTTTAGCCGCTAGTTTGTTATTTCCCACACAGGTTTTTTATCAATAAAGTTTTTACAAAAGGGCGTTTCTCAGCCTCCCATGTTTCCTGCTAAGCTGTCAGATAAACGCTCATCTTATTTTTAAAATTGCTCTAGCACCAGGCACGATTCTTGAGGACAACGTCCGGCGATATCCGCATACATGTTTATACTAGCTGCAGGCACGACGCAGGCTGACGCACGACCACCCCTCAGTTTTCATTTTCGGGATTCCATTTACGGCTGCGCCGAGTCACGACAGAACCCATAAACAGGGGCCATTTTAAGTGCGTCAAAACGCGACGCTTGTCACCGTAGATTCTTTGTTATCATGCGCCCTCAAGTAAGTCCACGTGTCCATCAGTCTTACTTCCACCACATAGGTAACTCAGTCAATCACTTTCTAATGCTGACACGGACATGTCAAGCACACTCGCGGGAACAACACGTCGCGACTCGTGCTCTCTACAATAGACGCCTTGTTGTTCTGGCTTACAGGCCAACTGCCAACTCACAGCACTTTGCCCCGTATAAAGCAAAAAAATTACTAAATCCTCTAGTTGCCTACCTTTGGTCATTGGACGGGACAGAATTCACCGTGTGTGGTTTCAGTCGATTAAGTATCCTTGATCGTCACGCAACGTCCAAAGCCGTCGCGGAGACGCCACCCTCCCTTTACATAGAGAATTGACGTCATTGGACCTGAACAAAGTTCCCAGGCCTCAGTAGAATAACGGAAGTTACTCTAGAAGACACTTTCTCCAAATTACCAGAACTTTTGGGTAATAAGTCGGTCGCTCTCGCCAGGTCAGTTCTTTATCTTGAACCATAATAATGATGCAGATTTTCAAATTAACGTTAAATCAACTGCAGTGTTGATTTCTACGTGCTAGGGAAGGATGGAAATAAAGGTTGAATTTCCATTGCGCTAACTCAAATAGGTCCATTCGGTATTTATAGCTAATTCTTCTGCCTGATCTAAACCAAGGAGAACTACCTCGATAGATCTCGCTGACCGATGATATGAGAGAAAGAAATACGCTTTATTTCGGAAATACGATTCCGAAGTGTTCAACAAGAACGTGCTTCATTCACTGTGGATAAAGATTAATGCGCAGAAGAGAACACAGACAGATCAAATTATGATTTTTCTTCACACTCTTCTCATGCTGGTTATCGGTCTAACAGGGGTTCAATCCAGACCCTAAAAACAATGATAACATCTTTGTTCGTCAGTTAAATGCTTGAACCTAACCGTAGCTTACGGGTACTGAATTCTGGAGTGCCATGACATCCATGGAATCGGTTCTGGAAGGTCACCACGTTCGCCAAGAAGTATCGACGGCGTCCACCAAAAAGGGCTGGTTTCATCAGCCCACTTTAAGGGCCTATCTGGCTGGATATTTCCAAATACCGTTAGAAACGTTGCCGCTCAGACACACTGCTGTTACCAGATAACGAACCTACCAACTGTTTCTCTACCCGGAGGTATGTCAATGTTTTTAAAAGTATCATATTGTAATACCCCCCTGCCCCCGGTACAGACGTCACTTCATGACCATTTCTGTTCTCTTGTCGGCGAGATGTGTCAATAATGTGGGTCAAGAATATCCTGCCGCTGACGGGCACGAACGCCATTCTCTGATTGGCTAATCAGTGACGTAAGACAGATGTGCCTTTGTCTCATGCCCTGAAATCTCTCGCCAACATCCTCTTGTACTCTCCAACAGACTTCTGTCTGTCCTGCCAACATCGTCTCCGGGGCATCTCTCTTACAAACGCAGTATTACCATGTTCAGCAAGCACAATGGATCGCAAGACAGACTTGGTGGACTTACTCCACGGAACTATCGTTACTGACTCAGATGAGGATTGAGAATATTCACAACAAACCATCGCGATTGAGTTCTGTGTAATGCAACTGCTTACGGTGCCTTGCGTTCCTCCTCCTTACTGCCTATTCTCTGACTGATGTAGGATACAGCAAATGTTCATGAAAGATCCTTTGTCCAGTTCCCGATGTAACCTCTTTTCTCTCTTTTATTACTACGTCCCCTTTCCATGAATTATTAGTGCCCTTAGTAAGGTGGGCACTGATATTCAGTCCTTCTTGAATGGGCTTATTGTGGATGAAAAAAACGTGGACAGCCTAGTTAGGGGTCATAACTTTGATTGCATAATTCAGTATTTGTCTGTCCTAAAGATTTGAAAGCTGGATCAAGTGACCTCTGCCCAGTCATTCTTGCAATGTTTACCTGTGTACAGAGTTGGGTATGAATGCGCCACTTCTCATTTCACATTAAGAACGTGCATGTTGTTACTGAAACAGACAACGAACCTTTATTTCATATGCAGACTGATTCATGCCTCACGCAAGTCCGAATGCGTGCTTTGCGTAGGGACCTCCCCTTCGAACTCCGCCCTCACTGAAATTTCGTCCTGACATCTAAATTTTGCCATGAATGTGGGATGGGAAAATTCTTCCATTCGAAGCTTACCAAGGTCACGACAATTCCAGTTCTCCGATGAGCAGTCAAGGCTCCCAAGATGTCCATTCGCTGGAAACTGCCATGCATGCCATCGTGTCGCATTCGTTACAACACCAGTATTTACACTCTTTCCGAAAACGCCGCGTTGACCATCTAAATTTACATTTTATGAGTTTTAGGTGGCAATCAATTCCATGTGGCCCTCACTGAGGTCTGTAGGTCTTTGAAAGTGGATACTCCTGCTGAGTCCAGGATATAGCAGGAGGAATGGATCTTAACTGATATGACCTCCTAAGAGCCCCCATAACAGGTTGGCGTCTAACCATTTTTGATGGTAAAAGTGATGACGACGATTATGGTGGTGGTGGTGTCGGTGTTGGCTACGGTGTTGGTGGTGTCGGTGGTGGTGTCGGTGTCGGCTACGGTGGTGGTGGTGGTGGTGGTGGTGGTGGTGGTGGTGGTGGTGGTGGTGGTGGTGGTGGTGGTGGTGGTGGTATTTGAAAGTGGATACTCCTGCTGAGTCCAGGATAGAGCAGTAGGAATGGATCTTAACAGATATGACCTCCTAAGAGCCCCCATAACAGGTTGGCGTCTAACCAAAAGGGTAGCATGGTAGGCGTTACTCGGACTGCACAGAGTCCGCTCGAGCCCATAGCAACTATCGTAAATGGGAGGTGTCATTGCACGCCTAGATGTAGGCCCCCACGTCGCGTCAGTCATTGCGTCCAATGCCATCCTCTGTTGGTTGGGAGATGCGGGCAGTCGATGGATACAGGGGGACGGGGAAACATTGAGGCCAATAAAGGAGAATCCATCCCCACGGCAAATCAGAACATTTCTCATTATAATCAGTCAGACGCGTTTGAGTCTGTCAAGACGCAATAATGGGGAAGCATGAAAGCCTGCCAACTGACGGAATAACTCGGTCTTTCTCGGATGTGAAAGTCAGGCCCAGTGGCGCCATCTTAATGAGGTCTCTATAACACTCTCACAAACGTGAGATCCAAATCACCCTCGTAAAGGCCCCAGCACATTCTGCAAGAAGCAGGTCATGCGCGGCACATGTGGACGGTCTGTTTGGCTTTGCTAGCTTCTGCGCCCACGCCCACCTCTGGTCGTTTTGACATTCTCTTTTCATCTGAGTAAGGTGGTTGGAGGAAATGGTATTGCGGTAGATGCAGCACAAGGCCGATTCATCCTGAACGAGCTCATACACAAGTCACCGTTCTGCGCCCACTCCGTGAAGCACACGGTGGAATTCATTGTTCATGAAGGTCGAACTGTCGCGTATGGCTTTTTGAGGATGGTATCGACGGTGGTGGTGGTGGTGGTGGTGGTGGTGGTGGCGGCGGCGGCGGCGGCGGCGGCGGCGGCGGCGGCGGCGGCGGCGGCGGCGGCAATGTGGGTGGGGAAAATCGTTTCAAAGACAGTGTCGTTCGAATACTTCTTATCAAATTTACCTGCAGCAACATGCTGATCTCCGATCGGTAGACGAAGGTGACCTTGCCATCAATGATTTTCGTTTCCACATCTTCGCATGTGAGCACGCGTCCGGCGCAGACTGTTGTTTGAATGTCCTTTCCGAGGCATTCACCGGGTCGTGGGCATGTCCTTGTGCGGTTTCGAATTCCCATGCCGCACTGGACGGAGCAGAGGGACCATTCACCCCAGGCGGACCAGACCACTGGTGGCGGTGGCTTTTCACACAAAGTTCCAGTGAATCCGAAACGACATTCACAACTGAATTTTAGTTGTAAAGAGCAAAGCCTGGTTAGGGTAGATATCGTGGCATGATTGAAATGCCTTGAGATTACGCTGTACGCCAATCAATGTCACAGCACCACTTAAATAATCCTTCCTAAGTGAATGCGCATTTCAGAATTTCGGTTGACATGTCATGAGACTGCTCACTGATTCCCACCCCAAAGGCACCTGTTCTTTTCAATCACAGAATTCGGTAATATACTGGCCCTCACTTCGGGGTTTGCTCTTTTTATCTGTAAATTGTCCAACTGCTGATAGTCCCCAAGAGTGCCATTAGGGTTGAACAGCCAAAATTTACGTAATATGTCAAAAATCGGCAGCCGCAGACGTAAGCCCGACTCATCTTGACTGTATGTTTAGTTATGAGGCCACAACTTATGGCTTAAGCAAAACAGCATTACCGAAGAAGACAAGGGAGACTGGGATGACCGTTTCTGGTCTATTGGCTCTCGTCAGCCAGCCGTAACCGACCCGGCGTGTGAAACACTTGGGGCGCTGGCCTTCCAACCAATAGGTCGCAGGATCGAGCCCCTGGTGTTCCCCACCTCGGCGTTAGGTATGGCCGGCTGACGATGACTAATAAGCCAGAAATAGCCATTACAGGCTCCATTGTCTTTGTCGGTAATACTATTCTGCCTGTATCATGCGCCACTGTGTGGCTGCTGGTGGACCTCGAGAGAAAGCAGGGACGAGTGAGTTCCGTAGCGCGATCGGTGAAAGCCCCCCCCCCCGCCACTAACAACTTGGTCATTCACGCCTACTGTAAGTACACAGGCATGAGAGTTTGCTGGCTCTCAAAGAGCTCCACTTTTCTGTCCGCGAACGGGTTTATCTAGTGTAAAAAATCCTACCGAAATCTCCGCTCCTTCCCTGAGAGGTCAACGAAGGTTGGAGGAATCAGATCGTGACAGACGCCGCCGTTGAGGCATGGCGTATTCAGGGGGTCTTCACACTCATTCACGTTCACGCAGGTGGGGTTTGACTGACTCGTTGGTTCGTAGCCCTTGGTGCACCGGCAGGCGTAACCAGCGACCTCGCTGTTAGGATCTCGAACACAGGGGAATGGGCCACAGAGGTTATCAATATGGCGGCAGGGATTGCGTGGTTTCTGAAAACAGAGAATGAAAAAGAGGATGCTGAGGTTCTAACTCCAGAACTGTTATGATGATGATGATGATGATGATGATGATGATGATGATGATGATGATGATGATGATGATGATGATGATGATGATGATGATGATGATGATGATGATGATGATGATGATGATG